TTAGAATATAAAAAGAAAGTATATTAAATAAAATTAAAGATGTTTTAAAAAAAAAATAGACAAAAAAAATTTTTTTTTAAATATTTTATTTCGTTTAATTTGATTGGTTGACCCAAATTTTATCAGGTCTGATCATAAGCTTGACCTGACCTGGATTTTTCAGGTCAGGTCAGATCAGGTCACAGGTTGACCTGACCTGATTTGGAGCTCTAGTTCAGAGCTCTAGCATGAATGTTAATGACTATCTTTCAAGAGTGTCTTCAAAGATTCAATTCACAAATGTTCAGAAAGCATAACAACTAACGTGTTTTGCTACTTCTTGACAATTATCTATGTCATAAGGTAAAGGGACTAGTTCTTTCACATGTTAATGTTGTTTTTTACCTCTGAATACAACATCAAAACTTCAACCAATGGATGCTAGAATCATTATGCCATTCAAAAATAATTATTGCCATTGCCATCATCAAATCCAATGGATGTTGGAACAGGTTGAAGCTGGTAAATCTGTACAAAACTTAAAAATGAATATCTTACAAAGAATTTGATATTCTATTCAAGCTTGAGATGAAGTTAAGACTAAAATAATTTGTAATTGCTGGCGTTATACAGAAATTCTTTCTGTTAGTAAATATATTGAAAAAATGAAAACATTCAAGAAATTGACTTACCACTTGAAGAACTTTTTGAGATGTTTAAAGCTCTTAATTTTTCTGATGATATGTAAACAAAAGAACTTATATCTCTCTAAAGAGAATATTACTTATGAAGTTCCTGAAGATGATAATATCATTGTAGAATTTATAGATATATTTAAAAAGAAGCCTGATGAAAACCTAGATGAAGATGATGATAGTATTAAAATAGAACTCATTAGTATAAGTGCAGCAACAAAAAGTTTGAAAAATATTTGTGCATTTTTATTTCAGCAAGAAGGTGATATTGAATATTTTAAGTCAGCAAATATTTTCAAGAAATTTATTAGAGAAAAAAAGAGCAGTTTGATGAAATAAACCACTTTAGAAAAATTTTTTAATGTTGATAATGTCGATAAATAATTACATTAGAAAAATTTTTTTCCAATTAATATGACTATGAATAGTATGACAAGATTCGAAAATGTAATAAATAAGTTTAATTTAAGTTAGATTTCCGATGTTTGATATAAAAATAAAATAAAATTATGGTTATTATATCATAAAAATCTATATTTTCTCTTAATGCACACCCTCTCTAAATGCATCTTTATAAAAATAAAATAATAGGAATGTAATATAGTATGATAATAAAGAGGTATTCTAAATAATTAATATAAAATAATATAAAATACAGATAAGCATTTGCAAAATTTTATGTATAAAATTAGTAATTTTAAATATTAGAGTAAGATTATATAGTTATAATAAATTATAAATCTTCTATAAAGTTATACTTCATAAGATTACATTTAATGCAAAATATATGTAAAATTTATATAAAAATACATCTCTAAAAATTTTAAATAATATTTATTTATTATATATTAAATAATATAAGAATATAAAAATTTATATTTAAAAAGAAGATAAACTATATTTAATTATCTTTTTCTAATAATACTTAAATATTATAAATCTTTTATCTAAAAATTTAGATATAAGTCTCATTTATTTTAATTCGATTAATTTACAATTTATTTTAGTTATAAATGCTTAAACTTTTTGTATGATTGTTAAAAATAATAATTTAAAAAATTATTTTTTTATTTTTTAAAAGTATTAATTAACGTATTTTGCTTGCTATGCACATCAATTCTTTTTAATGAGTGATTGATTAACCTGATAAACTCTCGATATTTATAAAGCGGGTTAAAAAAAATTTTAACGTTTAATTTAATAGATAGCGATAGCATTTTAGGTCGGATTATTTATAAATCTCAATAAAAACGAAGTCAGTTTTATTTTTTTTTAAATTGATATATATATTTTGAGACAAAAATAATGTTAAGGATTCAGGTGTTAAGGATGTATTTTTTTAAAAAAAAATTTTAATCAGGAGGTTTTAATCTTACATTTTAAGAAATGGTAGTTATAATTAAAAATGTTTATTTCTGAGTTTTGACGAGAGAAAAAAAAGCCTAAAAATGATTTATGAGGGTTACTCAAAACGAATAGATCTATTTATCAGATTTAGTCTTATCGGTAGTAGTTTGATTAGTTCCCAAGTTGCCAATAGTATCCTAATTATTTTTTTTAAAAAACGTCAAAAATTGTTTCATGATGAAGAGCTGCGGAATTAATGGTCTTTACGTTATTATACCTTAACAGTAGTATATGCATTACTAAGAGCACCGGTCACATATTCAGTAGCATTTTTAGGTTGTGGTTGAGATAGTTGTTCTTGTTCTAAATTTTAAATAAAAAAATAATTTAATCAATAGATCTTATTATTAAATCGGAAAAAATAAATTTTAGAATATACATACTTTGCGTATCTATAGGAATAGCACCTACACCGTCAAGGGCAGAACTTCCTTTATCAACATGAGCAATATGTTTATTGGGTTCATCTCCCGTAGGATTTGTACCTATACCGGCAAGTGCACTTGAACCTTTTGCTGAAATATGCGCTTTATTATCACCTGAAGACATTTTCTGATCGAATTTTAATTAACTTCTTGGAAACATGGTGTTTATATAACTTTTTTTGCTAAAAGCAATTCGCATTCTAAATGATTTCATGATTTCATCATTCTATTCTTTTGAGAATAAATATCTTTATTTTAGATTAGATTTCATCATCACAAAAAAACTAATAATTTATATTTGTTAAATTTGGAATAGATTAAATAAATGATTTCATCGTGATTCATCAATTCACGTGATTGGCACTGCGGTTAATTGAAGCGTTAAAGTTATTTCCAATGTTATTTTTCATCGGAAATATTAAATTTAAAGCCCTCTTTCACTAAATTCAGTGTCAAAAGAATTAAATCCTTTGAATGTAATGCTTTTGATATTAAATTCAAGGAATTTGATGAATTCAGCATTAAGGTATTGGATTAGATTTAATGCTTCCGGATAAATGAAACAGTAGGTTAATCACATAATCCGTTTTTGAATCATCGAATTATAAAAAAGGACGACATTTATCACGGGACGGGGTGGTTCCTAATTTTTTATTGTTTGACGATCAATTGGTCATATGATTTGGCATATTTAATTATTTAATCACATTTATTACGCTAGACCAAAAAAAATAAAAAAATTTATGTTTTAGCGTTGCTCTATTTTATTAGACAAAACAGCGGCGAAATGGAAGAAGGGCAATGTCGGTATAATATTTACAGTGTTTTTTTTTGTTGTTGTTTTTATTATATTATTTTTTTTTTCTTCTACATAGTATAGACCAAGTGACGGACGAACGTAATAGCAGCTAGAGTTCGACTTGGAGGTTTAGCCAACTTTATTGGGCTTCAAGTACGGCCTGACAGAAGGGGGTCGACGGTAACCTATTCGAGAGGTGGTTTTTTTTCGGTAAGGGTCTGCTTTTTCTGTATGAGAAAATTGCTAGGTATCTTCCTTTACGTGTCAGGAAAACCATTTCCTAAGCCTGGCTTCTCGCTTCCTGAAGGGCTTTGGAGTTTACCTAACCTAACCATTGCCTGTAGCATAATAGACATTCGTTATATCACCTGGTGATAAAATCAAATGTCGATCTTTTTTATATTGTGTAACATTCGATGTCAATCGAT